TTAGACCGGAGTTTTTATTTAAAAGCCAATTTAAATCATTAATTTGATTTGATTAAAAAATGTATTAGCCAGTATGGCAAAGAGAACTCTAACTCTTTTAGAAAATAGAGGAGTTGTAACTGGCTCTCATTTCTCACATTACACGCTCTCCCAAAATTTTATATTGCTCTTGAGTCAGTCATTTTGAAGCGATTTCATTGCTTTCAAGTGGTGATGAAGTTATGACAAGCACTGTATATGCCTGATTTTTCAGATTTAATAAATAGGTGGGTCTGTGTTCGGCAGCTCAGAGTATGAAAGTTGATATTAGACATTCAAATTGTGGAAATTGGAGGACTAGATCACATAGCTTCGGAAGACTAGATCACATAACCAGCGAATACAGCGAATTTGTTGAGGATTTTGGTTGAAAATCCATCAAAAAAAGTATCAAAAATTTCAGTACTACAATATATTATACATATATGAAAATTATCTTTTAATCCTAACATAAAATACCAAAAATTTAATATGGTCATGAGTGATATAAATCAAGTAAAGTCACTTATTACATTTGATTTAACAGTAACGGACTTTTAAGTACATTATTTAAACATATTTCTTTTTTTTTTTTTGATCTAAACAATTACACGTGTCAATTTCAATTAGAATTGTTAATGTCCAATGGAAAAATAATTAATTTTTTGGAATTTTAATAAACTTAAATAGATTTTCAATTAATTTTTGTCCATAATTATTAACTAATTATGTCAATCAAAACGTGCTTTCAGTACATACATACATATGTATATTAAATGAAAAAAGTACAGAAATATCTACATACACGTATGCAAGTATATATATATGTATGTACATATTTATTTACTCAATCAATTTATATTAGTTTTGATATGCAAATCACGCAAATACTAAAAATTCACGTTATTATAAAGTTTTTTGTGGTTTTTTATTTCTTTAATTGAAAAGTTAATTTGTAACTGCACTTGTGCACACATACATATGTACATAAATGCTTACAAAAAACGTAAATGAAAGTTTTGTAATATGAAATTGGCACGCAAGCCTTTTTGCATATAAAGTAAAATAAAAAAAAATCGTATGTATGCGGGTATGTGATCATCGTAGAGGTGTGTGTATGCTTTGTATTTGTATGCATTTTTTTGTACGAGTATAGTATAATACAATGTATTTTTACTATTCAGTGAATCAAGAAATTTATGTGGTGATTAATTGAAAGCGCAGGCAATTTATTTTCAGCTATCATTTCAATATCTCGATTTGTTGTGATTTACTTGCGCCTCACCATTTGCATGCTCAACTCATTTAATTCAACGTGAAATAGAGAGAAAAAAATTATAAAAAATAAATAAAAAAATAATAATATTAATGAGCAAATCAAATGGAAATTCGTATGTGGCGACACATGCAAAGTAAAAGTCCAATATCATTTGCTTTCATGCTGGAAAATACTTGTAGTAATAATGAACTAAAATATCATGTCAAAAGAAATGCATGCTTGTGAACATGCAACACGGCCGCTTGATGACAGCTGTCAACGTTAACTGCTTCTACGAGTACAATCTAATGATTTCGGCGCAAAAAAGGGGCGAAAAATCTAGAAAATATAATTTCCAATCAAATGCAAACAGTGAATTTATCATGAAATTTAAAGTAATTGCCAACCGTAAATACAAATATACATACATATATTTATATATATATATATATGTACGTATGTATATGCTATAACGCTTTTTCACCGCGTGTCATGCCATAATGGCGCACAAAAGAAATTAATGAGCTACAAATTAAGCAGCGACAGCAGTAAGGGGATAAATTAGTGAAATGAGCAATGAGCGAGAAGTGAGGCGAGACACAAATAGCAATAATAAAAATGTAAAGAAAATAATAGAAAATAACAGAAAATAAAGAAAATGAGAAAATTGTCCACCATTGTGTAATCAGCGGCCATTTCCTATGTAAATGCGACGATTGAGTGAACACTGGCCATTAAATTGTTAATGTGTTTGCTTGACGCATTAGACACCGGCGATGTCGTTATAACTGTCACAACGTACATAGTTGACAAACATAATTATAATTGTTTAATTCTGACATATTTGGTTATTTAGCTAATAACCAAACTTCTTTACAAAGTTATCTTGATGCATACATACATACGAGTATATTTATTTTCCTGCTTTTTTTGAGGCGTTTATCATAACTTAAATTGTTGCTATAAATCTTACGCCAAAATTAGCGTGTTTAAGTATTGAATATATTATTTTATATTAAATAATTTAGAACGGTTCATTTTATAGCCCGTTTCGCCCAAAACAAAATGACGTGACCATGCTTTTATCGTAAAAAATAAGGAAATTTTCGCCGCCATTTAACAGTAGAAGACCATTTTTCCGTTGCTTTTCATTTCTTTACTTATTTAATATGTAGGTTTATAAATTTGGGGGTTGAAAATGGACGCGTTGAAAGACTTAACTAACAACCCCCTACACGCCCACAACGAAAATTGTGCACAAATTTGTACTCACTTTCAAAAAAAAACCAAAAAAAAAAAACAGAAAAAAAGCGGTGTACACTTTTCCTCAACTACTCTTCCCACCTATGCATCGTTAACGTAAAATGTTTGTAACTATTAGGTGGGTAGGTGTATGTGTAAACGCGTTCGTTTGAGGCGATGTGGCAAAGTGGCGGTCGGAAACACAAATTGAAATGTGGCGTTGCTTCGTTGTTTCCCGTTTAATGTGTTCATGAATTTTTAAAATCCTTATTTCATTTTACACTTTATGCATACATATTACTATATATATATAGTTATATTTTACACCTTCGTACATAGTAAATAATGATATTTATTTATACATTTTTTCGCTGAAAAAACTTTGCATATACATATGTACATATGTATGCATGTATGTAGTTTATATAGAAAATTGTTGAACAAAGGACGCGAGTAGCTTTTTGTAACTTTGTTTTTAAATTTTGACACTTCTTTTGCATTATGAAAAGTTTATTTTTTGTTTGTTTATTTAGCCAGCCATACCATCGTGGCATTAAATTTGTATGCCTTTTGCAGCTGGCAGTGTTAAAAAAAGGACCTCCACTTAATTAATCAACTCGGACTCGGTGGTGCCTCAGAACGGCTGTTGGACTTTTACGAGGAGATTTTATTTCATGTTAGATGTACTCGTGAACACCTGCTCTAAAGAAAAAAACCGACCAATGCAAACAAACTCTTTTACATACTTATTTAGTATATATACGAGTATATATATCGAGCAATTCGAGCTTTTTTCAGGAATTTGAGCTTCTCAGAGCTTTTGTCAATAATTTTAATTTTATTTATGCAAAAAATAAAACTCACTGAAATACAAGGCGACCTAAGCAAGGTTGAGTTACTAGCGCAGCGAATTCAACTTTTTTCATTTATTAATTTAATTCGCTTCAATGCATTTGGTTATATTTATTTGAATTTACAATTGGAAAAGTGAAAATTCTCATAATACATTTTTCGGCTTTTTTTCAAATAAAAAATTTGAGCCGTTATTGAGTTGAGTTGTTATGGCTATTGAACAACGCACTTAGGCCAATAGACCAGTGGTGATACCGCTATGAGGCTTCTCAAATATTCTAATCAATTCCCGTGAAATTTGAAAAATTTCAAACCATGATGAAAATTCTACAATGTAGTTTCAATTCGAAATTTTTCAGACTAAACGTGTTTGATCTGGCAATTTATCAAATTTACTTGGAGATTTTTTAAAATTATTTTTAGGGTTATCTTCTAAGCAGATGCTATAAAATTGAATAAACCCATGGATCTATAGGAATATTTGTGGAAAGACGTTTTTCTTAGGCGGTATTACTTCTGCCTATACATTAGATTTACCATTTATTACTTTTTTTTTCGAAATTTAGGCTTATAGGCTTTCTCAATTATATGCGAAATGGCCGTGGCTTGGGTCCCTGGTCATAGGGACACCCGGGGAACTATGGGGTCTATGAGCTAACTAGATAACTATTCTAATAACCCCAATAAACTCTGCGGTCCGTTATTAATTTCTCGGAAATTTCTGCTTCGGTTACTTAGGATCTTCTAGTCTTGCCTCTGGGCATACGGTTGCAGCTGGAAAGTTTTACTCAATTCTTACTTTTGTGTTTACGTGCCCGCACTCTGAGAATGTAAGCAACCTGTGTAGACGAAGCGATAACTAACTCTTATGAAACCTTGGGTCATTTATAAAAGAGAGAAGTCTTTAGTGGTTTTAAGACCTCTAGCCTAACCACAACGACTATTCATAAGCGGAGTGGCTGTGAGCAGTTGTTGGGTTTGAAGCAAGCGAATTGCTATATATTACACATTTATAGTACCTTAGAGCAGCGAGGCTCGTGTTGAGCTTCGGACACGCCACGTAAAAATTAGCACTAATGAAAAACCAACGATTGATTTGACCTTCAATTTTGAGAGAGTATATGCCCTAAAATAAACTAGAAAATAAACAATAGAGCATATATTCCTCTCATTTGAGGCTCCAGTCGTTACTAGCTTCTAATTCTAAAAGAGAATAAATACACATTCTCCGCATTTTACACTCATTTTTAAATCAAAATAGAATTCGATGTTCTGGGAAAAAGAGGCAATCTGTTGTTTGTACCAAAAAGAGATTTTAGTAATGACTAGGTAATCAAACACTTTGAGCCCTTTTTGATAAATCTCACTTACAGGTATGTGAGTAACTGAAATCTCCGCTTCTGCGCTTAGTTAAAGTCTGTTCGTATTAACTTCAAACAGACCGAACACCCGCCGCGAATGTTCGCCTTTCTTTTCCTACAAATTTTTCTCATATTTCTCATTAAAAGTCTCTTGTTTGTTTATGGTCTAAGCTCGACCTCACAGAAAATATTAATTTGGCGCGCAAGTTTCTTTTTATAAAATTTTTTTTTACCAAATTTTGATTCTCCTCTCAAATAATCAAACTCACCTCCACTTCGTGCGACGATTTTGAAACCATGTCTTCACTTGCGCATCGGTCATTTTGAGTCCTCGCGCCAGTGCCGCTCGCTCAGCTGACGCTAAATATTTTTGCTTGTGAAATCGTTTCTCCAGCTCAGCTACTTGAATGCGTGTGAAGGAGGTGCGAGGCTTTTTCCGCTTTGGTGGTGTACGATTCTGATATGGATGACCAATGCGACGGGTGATGGGAAAAGCAGCTGCAAGTAGAAAAAAGAGTCACATTAATTTCATTTTTTAATACAGCCACTTATGTACTCGTATGTATTTAGTACACGTATATATATATGAATGTAAGGAATAAGCACGAAAGTCATTATACAAATAAAAAATACATCTTTATTTGAGAATGCAAGTGAAAGAGCACGCAATTCGGGAATGAAGACTTTGTCATATGAATGCCTAAGCGATTACATTGCGCCAGCCGACCGACCAGCAGTGAAGCCGGTGGCGTCTAACCAATCGGCCAGCGAACTCTACTAACTATTGCAAGTTAATTGTAGGGTTTCAGTTCAAAAACAATTTGTAAGGCAATAAATTCTCAAAGATAACAAGCAATTTCCGATATTTACTTCCGGACCCATATACATATGTGTGTGTGTGTGTGGGCAAATTGTGTGCGTACGTTCATACAAACACTTATGCATGTTCATAAGTGTACCTGTTCATAGACTTTACTCATCGCCACAATGTATTGTGCCAATTATCCTGCGTATACCTGCTGTGAAATCAATTAGACACTTCAAAATGACCGCACCTCTTGCAGTGAGCATGCAACCAAGTCGGACGCTAATTCTTTACTTTTTTACTACTACCATACATACATACAAACGTTTTCTCGTGTACTAGTGTACTCGTGTGTGTGTGTATGTGTACATTCATTGATGTGATCCTAATTGCTGTTGTTATCCTAAATTTGACTTATCAGTCATACTTAAATTGTTTGGAGTGTGTTGCGTGTACTCAATGGAGGCGGCAGTTCCCTTTCTAAGCAGGTATGTGTCATTTGGGTTTAGCCAAGTCCATTGACCGGCGCATCTGACACTTAGTTACTTACGTACGCATTTCTTTTCTCCTTTTCATTTTCATTCATAAAAATTTGATCTTTTTTTGTGCGATTTTTTGCTGGTTTCACTGCCGAGGCGGGCAATTATTACTTTTTAATAGTGTTTAAATGCGTCAAAATTGTTTTGAGAGGAGAATCGAAAGCAAAATACAAACCAAAAGAGGCTTAAAAAATAATAAAAAAAAAACTAGAAATATTAACATCTTTTTAATAATTATAAGAACTGATTGATGGTCTTGAGGTAAGATAAGGAGTGTGTGAGTGCCCATAATAGTCACCGGCAGCTCAAACAGATGTCGATTATATTTGTTTTTAAAGAGTCGATTTTAAATTAAATAATTAGAATTACGCTTAAAAAGGGATAAAACTTTATTATTCTGTACAAGTCTGATGGAAAAAGTAGTGGCTCAAAAGTGAAATACTGAAATGATAAGGAAAATTATCTTAAACTTTATTTCAATATTCTATGTTTTGTAAGACATTGATCCAGTGAAAAACCAACAACAGCGTAGAATGAAAACTTTAATTTATGCTCTGGTCAAATTATCATTAGCAATCATCGTACTTTAAAAATTTAGCAGACCTTGGCTTAACTCTTAGGTTTGAAGAAAATCTACAGTTCTGATGTCTTTCTAGAGCATCCTTTAACTCCTATTCTACTGCAGGCCAGACCCACTCCGCGATTGTTTGGCTGCCTCTCTACAAATTTTTAATAATATTTCTCATTATAAGTCTCGTGTTGATTTATAAAAGGCCTAGATCCCACTTCACTGTAACTTGGACAACATTTTTTGATAAAATTGGAAAGTTTTGCACCACATTTTGATTTCAAAAATCCACTGCCCAAATAATAAACCTCAGCTCCCCTTCGTGAGACGATTTTGAAACCATATCTTCTTGTGCATCGGTCATTTTAAGTACTAATATGATATGAATGAATGTTCGAGCTTGTGAGGATGTTGGCAATTGGATTAATGTGATTTGAAGACTCATTTATTTCTAGCAGAATGTTGAAACTTAAATACCCGTTCTCCCGAGCTGCACTCATTTCAAAGCCATTTGGTTCATCACTTACATTGAGGTGCCTCGATTGTTACCAATAAGTTGTTGTGAAATACCCATGACTTATTTATTTTTATGTTTATGATAAACAATTTGAAGTGACGCTCTACTTTCTCATTCTAATTGTGTTCGTTCCTTAGCTAGGAGGGCTATTGATATGAAATAAAAAAGCTCCAACATTCGAATGCGGCTTAAAATAAACTACAGATCACTCCATTCGTTGGAAAAACATCAGTTATTACACAGCGCCAGTTACAATTAGGTCATACTTCAGTCTACTGTAGTCAGTAGAGTTGTTAGCAGAACACTGCATGTTGGCGTACTTGAATACAACAATTGTTAGAAATGCCTGGAAGGGGTGAAGACGAAACAGCACGATATCTGTGAGTGCCCAGCATTCAGCAAACCGAGGTTGGTCTCACTCATATATGTATATTTTGGACTTGATAACCACTAAACCGAGCTCTTCCTCAAATTTGTGGTTTTCCGTCTTGTTGTTTTTCCAACAAATGGAGAGACCTACAATTTATATTAAACCGCCTCCGAACGAAGCTTTTGTTTCATGTCTTCCGAGGGTCGAAACAAATAGGAAATTTAATTTTCTGTTGTTTTAGATGTTTGTTGAACCAGGGCGCGAACCCCTCGGCTGCTATGATCGCCACTTAGCGAAGATAAATAGCATGATCTTCAGTTTTCAACAGTTATATGATCCAAACGTTTTCTTCAATTTGTTAAAAGAACAGCAGTATTCTTTAGTTTAGAAAACGAATTTTGCATTTTCTATGAATTTAAGTTGGAAAGATCAGGTGGAGAGTGACCTGGCTTCACCTGGTATTTTTAACTGGGGCCAGACAGCGAAAAGAAGAGAAGAATAGTGCGCTATAATTGATTCGGCTATAATCGCGTGAGCGGCGCCAACACCAATAAAGGTGTAAGGACTTCGGCTAGACGGCTGTTTTTTATTATTTGCCAAATATGACTTTAGTTACACATTTTGGTGACAGAATTATGGCGATTTTCGTATCTTTAAAATCACCGTTATATGTAGATAGGCCTTTAAAATTTTTGAATGATTGGGTCAAATGGAGACTAGAACACGCAAGATAGCAGAGGATTGGTCAGACGAAATTCCACCACCAACGCAAACTGAAATTCGCCAAGTGATTATCTTCGAGTTTCGGGACAATCTACAGCCAATACAAACATTCAGTGAATGCTAAATTCCATATGCATCGTCTTTAAAGACTATTCGAAAGTGGTTCCGAAGAATCCCGACCGGTAGAGGGCGAGCCCCGAGAAGTTCGATCAAAATCTTGCTCTGATGACTTCACTGTTGCTCTGGTGATGTCCAAAATTGAAGAAGCCCCTTGATTGACACAAGAAATTATTGCTAATGAATTGAGCTTGGAAACCATGGCTGTATCGCGAATATTAAGTAATCATATAGGCGACATGAAGAAATCTGCTCGATAGATACCACGAATTTTACGTGAGGCCTGAAAAGAGGCTCGAATGCTTTTTGCTCAATTTTGCCTAAGTAAATTCGAAAATTGTCAGTATAGCAATTTTAGTAAAGTCGTTACTGGTGACGAATCTTGGTTCTATAAGAACGATCCAGAAACCAAACAGAAGTCCACGGTATGGGGCCCAACAGCAGCAAACCTACCCGTAAAATAAAAGCAACAAAAATTAGCAGCAAAAGTAATGATGCCAGTTTACTTCACCCGATCTAAAATCGTAGCTGCTATTCGCCTGGAAAAAGGTCTGACGGTAACTGCAAAATGTTACACCGAAGAGTGCTTAGCAAAAGCTTTTAAAAATTTTCTCGAAAACTGCGAGTAAAATGGTTTGTTAAGCTACTTTTCACATCATGACAACGCGCCATCCTACACTGTTGAAATACAGAGTAATTTTATTGCGATCTTTGGCATCGAAAAATTAAGTCGAGCACAGTATTCCCCGGAAATAGCACCTCGTGATTTATGTTTATTTCCAGAAATCAAAAAAAAAAAGTTAGATAAAAGTTCATTAATAGCAACGAGGTGATAATTAACGCAGTGCTGAGCTTTATAAGCTCAAAAAGTAAAATTTTTAAGAATATTTTCATTAGTGGATCTATAGCCTTAAGAAATGCATTGAAATCAATGGCGATTATGTAGAGAAGATAAAAAAGGACAAAGTTTACGAATAAATACAAACAAGATTATTTTTTTTCTGATCAACTTAACGAACTTTTGTTAATCCCCTCGTATATGCATGTATGTCCATATAAAATAAATAAATTTATGCAAAAATGTTCGACTTTGAGGATTTTTATGCTTGCGTACGATGGTTCTCAGTGATAAATGCAATTGGAAATCCGGCTTTTCTGAATGCTTCGCCTTTAACTTTGGTTTATTTAAGTCAAATTCATATATTTTAAGAAAATACATAAAAAATGTATCTATTTTTCTTCTTCGACATACATATATACACATGCATTTATAGTATAAGCACGTGATCAAGTGTTAAACTGACAAATCGTATACTTTATTGATACTCTCTGTTTGAATCCATAAAAAACTCAAACTGACACAAGTAATCTCTCGTATGTCGGTGGGTTGATTGTGTGTTCTCAAATATGTACAAGCCTATGCATGTAGGTATGTATGTACATACTTCCAAAGTCAATATGTTGTTTATGCTTTGACGTTGAACTGTAAATTTTCAAGAAATCAATATGCAGAAAATGAAAAATTCACACGTGTGAGGAAGAATTGAAAATCATACATACAAAGCATAGTGTACGTACGTATGTACATATTTCACATATATTTGTGTAACATGCAGCTCATACTCGCAGCTCCTTTTGCTACTCTCACAATATTTTTTGGTAATATCAATTGCAGTAAAAGCCATTTATCGCACCACAAACGCTACACATCATAAGCACATGATTTGTCAGGTTGCCACAAACTCACACACAAACTCACCCCAAAACATTGCAGCACAGAGCTCAAAGCTCAACCCCAACAATCTATGGATATTGATGTTGTGTTTGTTACCAATTTTATGGCCGCCACAACGAGCAAT